TGCAATACACCTCCCCCCCCCCCTTATTATGTTCCTCGATATAATTAAATATGTTTCTCAATATAATTAACGATGTTTTTTTGTTTTTTAAGAAATCTGTAGGGGTAACAAGAGTAAAATTAACTATGTTTACTTGAAAATTTTGTGAAAAGTAAAATTATTGTGATATGTATTTGATTTTGGTGAAAGAATGACCAAAAAAAGGCTGTGAGGCAATGAATATGCACTAAAGAGATTGGTAATTATTACACAATTCGTACATTGTCTACTTCGTGGTCTCTCTACAGCTTCTATCTCTGCCCCCTTTTTGTCTAAAATATTCCCCAAGACCTGAAACCAAAGAAGCAGTTACATATGTTTGTAGACTATCCATTCAAACAAAACCCAACAACATATAACTAGAGACTTGGGATTACAGTTGTTACCTGTAATTAATGTGGGTGAAGTTAATAGATGATTTCTATGGACACCAAAACAGAGAAGATCTATCCTCTTATGCTGGAGGAAGTGTGCGACGACAAGTTGGGCATTCCATTTTTATATCCATCCATCTTTGTAAGCATCCTGAGTGGAACATATGTTCGCATGGTGTTACCATGCAATCATTCGTACGGTGTCTGAGATCAATGCTGGTCATGCAGATTACGCAATCTCTGCTTCGGTTTACATCATGGTCAAATCTTCTGTAGTAGCTGTATTTCTCAGGTAGCAACTGCCGCATAGGAAGCAAACACATGAGCTCTTGATATAGACAACTAGGCAATTTACTATTGATCTGAAAAATGGTATGAGAACAGAACCAACAAACCTTCCGAGGAACAAAGCAACGAGACCCGAAATAATGCTGAAGGAGAAGAACAGCTGCTTGAAACCCGATGAATGCGCACAGACCTACGCACCAGGCCTTGTTAGGCTCTACGCGCATGAAGTTCTTCGGGCATCCAAAAACATACAACGGTATAGCAAGTCGTGTGATCGTCATCCCCAAGATATAATAGGGGTGCAGAGGCTTTCTAGAATCACGAACAACGTTTGCAACTATCTGCGGGATCCAAAATGAGTACATCAGAAGGAGGATCGGCCGCATGTAGTTGTGGAACTCGTACATTATCAATATGCCTCCAAGAAGGATTCCATCTGTTTTTTAAAATCATTTCAATTGAGAGAAACATCAAACAACGGTGAGAATCTGA